AACGATCAAATATTTACATTGTTCTTTTAAGTTATTTATTATTGATAAACTTATAAAAACGCCAAAATAAGAAACAGTGTTAACATACCAGAAAAAACATGTTGATAATCCTTTCATTTTCTTACTTAGTTTAGTGGTTTTAGATAGACCAGCGATATTATTTATTATTTTTGGGGTTATTATGAATATTACAACGAACCCAACAACGTAACCCTCTTAGGCCAAGTAAATTTAATTAGTAGATTTTCATCCAATTTTTTTTTAAAAATGGGGTGGGTGGGAGGATTTTATTTTTTATTTTTTATTAGATATGAAACGCTCTTGTGACGTGTTCTTCATATATGCAAGTGTAATAATAAGGTTCTATCATGTATATACATGTATAACGAATCAAACATACAAAGAAATGCAAAAACCAAAATTTGAAACAGGATGTTATTAATGAAACGAAATTATCGACAGTTACCGGTAACGAAAATGAACAAAATCCGAAAATCGTAAATTTTTCAAAATAAAAAAAATTCGGGCGGAACGATTTGAGAGGGGCGGGCGGGGATGAAAATCTATCAATTAATTTTAATTGGCCTTATAACATTTTATTAACCAACTGAGTAAATTATTGTTCAGATGCCCAGTTTTAACAAAAATAGAAACAGTGTCTATTGCAGCCAACAGGGCATTATTACAGGACCATTATGGATAAGGGAGCTGCCATTTGATTTTTATGGGGGGGGCTAGGATGAAAAATTGTGTCCTGCCTTTTTTTTTTAGTTGTAATATCCGTCCTGCCTTTTTATTTTTCACTCTATTCGGTCCTGCCTTTTTTTATTACTTTATCCTGACTTTTTTTTACATAAATTGTCATCCTGCCTTTTTTTTTTGCCAAAGTGCTCATCCTGCTTTTTTTTTTAATCAAAACTCCTGTCCTGCCTATTTATTTCAAATTTCATCCTAGCCCCCCCATAAAAATCAAATGGTAGCTCCCTAAAGCCAGTCATTAAATCGCCTTTTCAGAATCTAAAGGACTATGAGTAATCTCATTGTTCGTACACCAAAATGAAAATAAAGTTGCGTCATTGGTTGAATTTCAATTGTTTAGTTCATTTTAGACCAATCACAACGTTTTGGCGTACGCTTTTGAAAATATTACCCAGAATGCATTAGATTCTGAAACGGCGAATTAACACTATAGTTAATAACTGTCATCACGTCCTCGCTTCTTCTTTTTGTTTTAAACAATTGTAGTTATTTTCAGGCTTTCTTCCTGATCAAATTAAATTGTTATTTTTGTTTGTTAATGTTCAATATTACCTTATTATCATAGTGTATGGAGGAGTTGGTAAAACCCGAGTTTTAGTTTGATCAGATTTACATCATTAAACAAACACAGTAATTATGAACTAAGCAAATTTTACATAAATAGGTATGCGCGTCCTTAAACCATTTAGAATAAAGAAAATGTTGTATAAACAGTCAGATAATGCATTTGATTGTATGTTTAATTACCATAAACTTAAAGAAACAATAAAAGCTGAATGGGTGTGATGTTTGCCGACATACCGTTCTTGTTTTAGGCTTGTCTAAAATATGAAAATGTTCTAAATTAATGAAAAAGCAATGGTAAAATATAATATCTGACATAAAACCAAAAGACTGTATATTGACTTCTTATTGTCGTTGTTGGGTTGTTGTTTTATTGACGTATACACCTCATCTCCTTTTTCCGTATTTTGACAAAAATATTCAAAAAACCTTTGGATTTTTTATTTTTATTCAGCTGTACAAGTGATTTATTTAACAACATTTTACATATATATATACAAATCTTGTTTTTGTATAAAAAGGAAACGAAAACGGCAAAATAAACAAATGTAAATGATCTCCCTTTAAGGCTGAAAAATTAGGTGTGTCGTAATGACCAGAATGTCTCCACATATGGAATGACAGAATGTCTCCACCTATGGAATGACTAGAATGTCTCCACCTATGGAATGACAGAATGTCTCCACCTATGGAATGACAGAATGTCTTCACCTATGGAATGACTATGGAATGACCTCCACCTATGGAATGGCAGAAAGTCTCCACCTATGGAATGACCACCACCTATGGAATGACAGAAAGTCTCCGTAATTCCGCGCATCTGTTTAAAACTGGACTCAACCAGTTACTCATCATAATACATGTACATTAATAACGAATCAGCACAATATCAAACAGTTTTGACGAAAAAAGGCCAGACAAACAAAGTTATCTAAGTCAAAATGTCACAATTCCGTGAACAGTTTGTCGTCAAAAATGAAACGCAAATTTGATATATAAACTCACTTCTATCTTTTACGTACATAAGATATGCATGTGGATCTGATGAGTCAAGCCTTTTCAAACTGCATTTTACAGTGTGTACTTGTGTTGTTTTGTAGCACCACTGTCTTTTATAAGCGAAGGGCTCCCAGTTCACAGATATGTTTAACTCGCCACATTATGCGTGCTTGTTAGATTTGGGAAGAATGAACACAGGAGAAAACTATGTTGCCGATCAATGAGTGGTGGGGCAGTAAAAGGACGAGAAAAACTAATTGAAGATACTTGCTTATAACAATTTTAAATATATGTTATATATTGAAATATTTCTAATATCCCGACTTTTTATCGGTTTCTTAACTGCGTTTACATCCATTTTCATATATGCATGTGTTTTTTGTCGGAAAATATATAATGTATTAGAACGAGCTTTAGAAACAGCTGGAAAATCGAGTCTCACTGAGCTTTTCTCCTGTTTTGTAAAGAGTACAAATGAATTCTATATTTGCCGGCAATGTTATATATACTACAATTAGGTTTTTATGCATTTACGTTTAGTTTTTAATTCCCAACTGCTGTCGTTTTGATTTTTATAGAACGAAATCGACATATGGCTTAACCGCGGACCAAAGGGAATCCCAAAATCAACTATGACGTAAACAGCAGTTTTGACAACACTGTTCTCTCATCAGAGAAGCAGGATCATAGGAGAGTTTAAAATATACAAATAGAGAAATAATGTGTTTGTAATTCAGTTATTTGTATAATTACTGGCTGATATCATACAAAAACTGTGATCAGGGGCGGATCCGGGATTTTTTGAAAGGGGGCATAATTCCAGAAAAGTTAAAATATAAGCGGAGCTTTTTAGACGATTTTATGCTAAAAATTCCAATAAATCGTGAGAATCATAATATTTGTTTTAATAGCAATCAAAGGTGGGGGCTTTCGCCTTCTACTCCGTTATGTCCTGGATACGCTACTGGTGATCCAAAACACACAGACAAATATGGGACCGATAGCAGCTTACTTATTCTAATTGAGCACAGACAACATTTTTTATAAAAATTATAAAGAGTATACAACAAAGTGGTCGCGTACATAAGGTCTTTAAAATCTAACAAATTTACATAACGACTTTAACATAAACAAACATATAGTTAGTAAATGATTTGTTTTACTATGTACATAGCACTTAAAATATAATACACTAATTAATGTACTGTTACAGCACAAACACACACACAGTAAAAATACACACACACACACATGCAGATAGTTTTTTTTCCAATCAAGGAAGCATACGAAGAGCAGATTAATTACAATGTAATTATTCATAACATACTAAGTATGAAATAGCTTAACGTAGGGATACATATCTAAAAGACTATGTACCATTATTTCAACATCTTGATGCATTTAATAAACTAAAACACATTCTAAACCCCACCCCTGAACTTGTTTGTCATATTGGAGTCTTTATTAAGCAGTCTTTAGAACTGAGGGGGTCAGACCCATGTCAGACAAGCTTATGATTGTGTGTTTCACATAAATTTATAATTAAAATATGTTCTATTATATTGTACTGTATTACATTGTATTGTATTGTATTTAAAATGTATAATTGTTTGTTTGTATTGCTTGACCCTTATGGGTGTAATTTTGCAATAAAGATTATATATAACACTACAATATCAATTGATTAAGTATATCAATGTTCGTCTATAACACTGTAAAAGTTATCGGAATATTAATTATAACAAGTGGTCTCTGTTTTTCTCAGCAAGATTTGGTTCATAAAATGATTTCAAGATTAACGATTTTAAATTTCAGTCAGTTAAATAAAGTTTTGAAGCAACATATCCTTCAATTTTATCTTAGTTTTTTTAATCGTAATTTTGCAATAAAACCACTTTTTTTCATTTTCATAATTTACGATGCAGTCGATATTTAAATTTATGTGTGAGAGTTTTCAGTGTTTTTTTTTTACAGCCTATTTTATTGAGTGTGTAGGAAAAGGTTAGCTTGCTTGCTAGCTGAACCGTGAAGTCATTATTAGGTTAGGTAAACTACCCTCCTTTATGAGTAGACTAGTCCGACAGACAAATATAATTGGATATTTGTGGGACTAGTCTACTCATGGAGGAGGGTAGTTTACCTAACATAATAATGACTTCACGGTTCAGCTAGCAAGCAAGCTAACCAAAGATATTACCTTTTCCTACACACTCAATGAAATCGGCTGTAATCATTTTTTTAATTTTACGAACCGTAGCAGTCACGTTTGATATTTCAAATTATCAACCAAAATTTGTTACGGGGTTATAAATGTATCCTTTACAAAGTTTGCTAATTTGTATACTTTTTTTGTCATAATGTTTATTCAATTTATCTTTATTTTTGTCATTTAAAAAAGTTCCAAGCATTTTTGTTTAGTACAAAATATTGATCAAGAACTTTACTGAGTAATGACAATTTAGCTCGAACTGGGCTTTCAAGTCAGGTAAACGGAAGCCAAAATATGTCTACTTTCACAGAATTTTCCAGGAATGAAGGAAATTTCATTTAGTCTATGTCAATGTACATATACAAATAAGTAATCTTCTTTTATAAGACTTTGATATTAATTTGTCTTTTACATCTTCAGTAAATGACTTTTCAATGAATTTCTACAAAAATAGTTTTGGCCCTGGAATTCAAAATGATTTTATGACTTACAACAAAATATAGCAATTACCGATAGTCTATACCGAAAACTGTGTGTAAAGTACGGCTGTAAGCATAATGAAAATACTAACTAAGTTTTGCCTGTATGAAGGAGCACCACTACGAATGTTATCGGAAACAAAATATTTCACGTCTTCTCCAGCATTCCGTTGGTTTTTACTTACGCTTTTGTATATGCTTATTGATTCACGCTTTGGACAAGTTTTTAGAGGACTTTCAATTATGTCAAAGCTAGCTTTTGGCTTTAAATCTCCATCCAAGACTAGTCTAATAGATAATTCGTTACAGTCTGAAACATTCAACACAAGAAGTTTCCGAATAGCACCACTTCTAGTAAACACCCAGCACAGGAACTCAGAAACATCTGATTTTCGTTTCGTTATTATGGCTGTCGTTGAGTTTGTGTTTAATTTGAAAGATGCTAAGCATAAATAAATTATTTCTTTTTCTGCTGTTGAACAGTCAATTGTGCTTATAGTGAAAACAGTTTTGTCATGCTTAGCATCAAAGGTAACGCAACCATCACATTTTGCACCTTCTTGAAAATATAAAGAATAAACATCATTTCCGAATTCTTCCGACAAGCCACAATCTACACCAGTGTGAATTCTAGGATCAATTAACGTAGTATTCTGAATTTCAACACTTTCTTTACTTTTACCAACTACAATATTTGTTAAAAACTGACTCTCCGCGCATGCTAATTTTCCAACATTATCAAGCGGGAAAACTGGCCAGGAAATACGTTTGCCAAATCGAATCTGTCGTATTGAGGGCGATGATTGAAATACCTCCATGCAAGAAAACTTTGGATAACAACCATTTTCAAACATTTGAAGTAAAATTATATGGTTTTTGTCCGTGTAGTTTGATTTTAGACATTGCATTTTGCCCATATCCTTCTGGTAGAATTCATATGTCGACACGTTGACAAAATTTGTAATATTTGTTTGTAATATTCCCCAATACCCTTTTATGTATTCCGGTATTGCGCATATATTAGCTTCCGGTCGACAGTGGTAACAAGATTTCTTACAATGAGCTTCCATGTCAGATTCGCAAAATTTGCTCTCTGCACATTCTTGGAATTCATCTTCACAAAGAGAATTGATGATGTGTTTTTTAAACGTTATTGACAAATAATTGACAGTTTTCGATGGAATCCCAAAAGAGTTCCCAGGGTCGCAAACAAAATCCATAAATAAATATGCTGTAATTACGTCATAAGAATGTGACGTTATTCGTAGACAATATGGCTGAAAGTCATCAGAATCAGGTCTAAGGATAACGAATTTTTCATTGCCAGTCGTCCATTCGGCCATACAATCAACGTGCTGATTCAGGTTCATTTTCAAATTATTATGAATACATTCCTCGTGTTTAAAGTCGAACATAATTCCTGTTCCTGATCCGCATTCACTTTCCATTCTTGCCCTCGGAATTTTGTTCGCACAAAGTTGCTTTCCACTTTTACGAATTTGCATATTGAAACCTCCTGAAAATGGGCATTTTATTGGAGGAGCCGTTTGAAAACTTGGTGATGTCATGGGCCAATGATCAAGATTCAAATTATCGCACATCGATGGACTTTTCACAGACATTTTTGTTGATGTTTTAATTTGTATGACGTCATCTGATTGTCTCAAAAACTGAATACATAAATATTCAGTTTCGGCAAGAAGTTGTGTTTTTTCGGTATGTTCCACTATAAATTTGTCATGCTCTCGAGTTTCATTACATTTTCGGATGGACTCAGCGCATACAAGACCATTATTTGTACAATACGAGGATTCTATTGTATCCTTGGTAATTTTCGACCTCAATGAAGCTTCGTTGTCATATGTCGCTATCCACATACTTCTTCTCGTAACAAACTTCGGAAACGTGCATCCTTTCGTAATAGATATAAGCATAATCATATGTAGTACAGCCAACCACATGATACATCTGTAATTCATTTTGTCTTTCATCATCGAAGTCGACTGAAAATATAAATTAAAAATAATGGGAAAAAATATAGCATTCTCTTTGTTGCAGTTATCCCCAAGAACCATTATATATATATATATATACTTTTTTTTTGGGGGGGGGGGGGGATGTAAATTGTCGTTTCTTTTTTTGTACAAAGCTTTCTATAACTATGCCATCTTGTTTCTACATGTACTTTTACATGATTAATATCTACAATAAGCTTTCACCGCTGCCAGTTTATGTTGTGTCCAAAGCTAACTCCATCGTCATGGATTAGAAGTGAAACCTCGTTTCCCAAAGTTTGAGTTCCCCGTCTGTTGTAAAGTAGATTGCATATTGGAAACTTTTGTGAAAAATGTAACACGTTTGTAGCTCAGTGTTTCTGTTGTTCCGTTGTTTTCCTCTTATAGTTGATGTGTTCCCCTCGGTTTTAGTTTGTTACCCGGATTTGTTTTTGCTTAATCGAATTATGACTTTGATTGAACAGCGGTATACTACTGTTGCCTTTATTTAACTCTTCTGTTTTGCAAGGTTGTTACATGTATTCTACACATAATTAAAATTTATTAAAATATGACGATTAACTAAACCTATAATTGCAAAACCTATCATCGAACATTGTTTTCTATATGTTTAGAATTACTACAAATAAAATAATTATTCTACTAGCAAATAATTGCACTTCAAAACTTGTTGCTAAATTAATAAAAGCTGAATCAAAACGTATTCAATCTGACATTTATTGGAAATTGGTTATAAAAAGCAACTTGTGTCAACATATAATGGCTATCGGAGTTTTGTTGGTAGTCTGCCGCCTGATTACTTCAAACGTAGGACTGCTATCGCAATAATATATACAATTTTGATTAGTAAAGCCAGTCCTTTCAAATATCATTTCTTTAGGTTTATTATACATATACTTAACTTAATATATGCATAGATGTTCTCGGCGTGAGAAATGTGTCTTAGTCTTCTTAATTAATTCCGAGTATTAAACAGTTTCAGTAAGATTTTTGCATACTAGCATTTATTCCATTAATTGTTAGAAGTATTCAATTAGGAATATCCGACTTTCATCCACTAAGAATTTTATACGATCATGTGGAATGCCCAAAGTAAATTTATTCAGAATGCCAATGCAGTAAATTAAAAAAAAAGTCTAGTCTCGTTTCAAACTGTAAAAACACGAATTGATATTAATCCCCGAATGCGAGACCAATTGATTTCACGAGAACAGTTATTATTTACTGTAATGACCCTTTCTATTCAATAAGGTTGTTAAGCCAAAACAGAACGATTTGATGAATATATTTTCTGATATTTGATTTTTGATTTTTTTGCTTGATAAATAATATTAGTATATTCTATAAAAGATTGGTCTGAAATACCTGCAATTGAAATTAAACTTTCTCAATAAATCTCCTTAATTGTGATAAAAAAAAGTAAAAGTTTTGACGAATTTTTGATATCTGCATCCCTATTGTTAAAGTAACTTCATCAGATATAGCAACAAACCAGATTTCTCAAAGTATAAGTTTAATAAAATTGACAATGTCTGTTCAATATGGTTATCGGACGTTCCCATGAAATGTTTACTTCACAAGAAAACAAATTTGATGCCACAAGGTAAAAGTGATTGTTATATGACGTCAACAAGTCAAGTGTCCGCAAAATTTCGGGTCAAATGTCACAGAATTCCAAATAATGATAAGCAATGTGTTTAAATATTGGTGAACTTAGAGGTAAACCGACTTTCAAATGAACGTTACTAATCAAATATGTCCAAAGAAATACAATTATTAAAAAGAAATACAATTATTAAAATAAGAATGGCCACAAAAATGTTACAGTTGTAAGAAGCACTATAGCCAAAAGAACTAAAATATTTGTATTTGAAACTATAATGAATGCGCATGCAGATATAAAACGAAAATGTAATTTTGGAAGACAATTCAGTTAGCATTCACTATCACTATTCAGTTAATTCCGCGTTCAAAAGTATTCAGTCACGATCTTTTTCAGAAGTGATGATAGAATTACCTCATCTCAGTTTTCAGTACCTTTGTACTCACTGCTTTGCTTACGAGACCTACTAAGTTTTTCCAATAATTTGCATATTTTTCACATTTTACAACCTACTTCGTTTTAAAGAATTTTATTTTACCGATTAAGAAATGAATGTTTCACACTTACATGTCTATAAAATTATTTCTTCAGTTAAAACAAATGAGAAACCGGTATGAAACCCAAGTACAAAATCGCACAAGAAGTATTAAAAATTTATATAGATGAGTTATTTGCATGTTGTGTCCAATTTTATCCTTTTCATTTAGCTCTTAGTCGAGAATCCGCTCATTCCTACAAATTACTGCAACGATCTCCAAATGAAAAGAATTATTAATGAAATTTGAAATTAACATTTATGTCAATGTATTGCTAGGAGCGGATACTGCTACTTGGCATGAAATCGACATAATAATAAATATATATCTACCGTTCATCAGTCTTTATAAAAATGTCCTTCAGCACGATTATCTATATTTAACCAAAAAACTGTTCACATTGTAGTATAATAGTATTGAAATATCAAGGATCTTATTTTCTTTGGCTAATTTATCCAAAAAAAAAAAACAACGTGAATTTGTATGTTTGACTAAAATAGCATTTCAGGTAGAATGATGAGGAAACATATCGGTTTACTTTCTTGGAATTTCAATACAGAACGTGTTTAATACTTTACATACACTTTGCACTAATAGAAAAAACATGCTGTATATATCACACGCAAAATTATTGTTGACTCTTTGAAAGGCTCCTGATCAAATCAATGACAGACCAATCAGACGGCGCGTGAGACCTATTCTGCTATCAAAGATTAAATGAACAGAATCTATCAAACAAAAACAAAACGCAAAAAAGCAGGCAAACAAAACGGACAAACAACCCAAAAAAGAAAACAAGAAAGTTTGTTTTTTTTAAACGGACACCTCAGAAACTTTCACCAACCACTAGCAACTTGTTTTAGACGAAAACACACGATCAATAAACAAGATTCTTACCTGAGTCTGTATAGCTCACCTAGTAAAAAAGTGCCAGTCTGCTTACAAGAACCGTTAAACTTTCATACTAGTTATTTTTGTGTTGCTGATCTTGGAATTTTCACTTTAGCTCCTATTATAGTTTTTGAAATAACAGCCAAAAACAGGCAAAGATATCATTAAAAAATAAAAACAGAAAAAAACGACATTTCAGGGGCAACAATATCAAAACATGTTGACAGGTTTTCTTAAAGGGTACAAAACTCTTGTTGTATTGATCATTTTTGCCATTAAGCCTAGTTCCTATAATATTCAAAGTTCCTATAATATTTAAAGTAAATGCCAAAAACGTTTTCAAAAATCGGTCAAATGGATATTTCAGGCAATGACTTCAAAACAGGATTCTTGAATTTTCTTCAATTTTAGAACAGATGCATATAAGTATAGTTAAAAGACGTCCATCAAGAACTGTGAAAATTGGGGGAAAAAAACCCTTTCATTTCAGGGGCAATAACTCTATGTAGCGTCACCAGAGTTTTCGAAATTTGTCTCGTAGATAGAACTTTTCATGTTAATAATTTTTCGAAACAATAGCAAAGCACTGCCAAAAAGTCAAAATCAGCATTTCAGTTCTATTTTTAGCCATAGTGGCCATGTTTGTTGATCTACCTAGACGAATATTATACATTTATACTAGATATCCTATAGATGAAGCAGACAGACTTTGCTTTCAATCCATTGAGCGGTTGCAGAGGAAAATTTTCTTAAATAAATTTTACGGGAAATGGACAATAGACGAAGGGACAACGTAAGACAGACAAAGGACGACGGATGCAAAGTGATGGCAATAGCTCATCTGGTCCGAAAAAGACTGCTAAGGTGAGAAATCAATTTGATGAAATCAAAGAACTGAAGTACTGAACATCGGATGACCGCAAGTGCCTGTGGATGGTCAAAAGCACTTGTCACAGTAAAAAATCACATCTCTATACCTGAAACTGAGGTTAATGTACAGATATATATTTTTTTCTGAGACAAGTTCGTGCGTGGATAATGAATAAATGACAGGAAATTCAACCTCACCGTAATAACTATTATATTGTAGTGATACAAATCAGTATACACTGGTTTGTTGTTATATATTATATTAATATTGTAACACTATGCAGTGATCGAAAGAATTGCAATTATTAAATATAATTGGTAAAGTTTATTTATAATTATTAAAATCAAAGTATTTATTATTGTTAAAATACAAACGTGACTTTCTATATGTACATGCTTTGGCTTTAGGGATGTTCAAGTTTATGACAATTGCTTTTTCATTCAGTCACAGGTGGTCATCGTGTTGTGGCCAGTTAATTTAACTTTAATAGGTTTGCTTTAATTAACCTAACGTTAAGTATATGGGACCAAAAGTAATGGTCACTTTTTAGAACAATTTTATTTGTGGCTTTGGGCTTTCTAAAAGTAAGTACCTATCATAAACAAAATTCTTTCTAAACTAAAGTCACGTTCGTAGTTGTATAAAAAGAACTGTCTCTAAAAAAACATTTCAGATTGTAACTAGGCACTGATTAAAAACAGTTCCTCTTAGCCATTGAGTTTAATAGTACCACAATATAACAGTTACATGTATATATAATTTTCATCCATCTGTATATCATTCTATTCTACTATTCTAACAATAGTGCAGTGCAAGTGCATGGTGGACACTCTTCTGTAAAAATATGAGTAGGCATTCATATTTTCCCGCAAAAACAATTTTCCATGCAGAGTTACCGGTCCTTGCCGGGATTGTCGCAAAAAGTTCTTGAGATATTCTTCCGCATGCATTAACACAATTTTTCGGTACGTGTGCATAGATATTATCAATGATTTTTTACTTATATATATATATATACGACAAAGCATTTTCATATTATTAATTTATGTTCTAAACAAAAATATTTTTATCAGTATTCATTAAAGAG